AGCGTTCCAGAGCCGAAAGCTCCTTTTCTCGGGACTCCGGGAGCCTCGGGGATTCCTTCAGGTGCTAGGGGTTTACCTAGACTTTAGGGGGGGGGGTTTGGGGGCTAGAGAGAGAGTCTAGAGAGAGAAAGAATGGTTTGGAAAGGTGTGAAGAATGAGGGAACCCGACACCTCTATTTATAGGCTAGAAAACAGCTCTACTCATCGAGTAGGTCCTCCTACTCGTCGAGTCCATGCCACATGTCACCTTCTGGTGGCTTGCCTTGGGGAGAAAGCCTTGGCCCATATTCAGCCACGTCACCCCTTTCACGCGTAGGTAAAAACAAGATCTACAACTTTCATTTAGACTCCGTCGGCTAATTCTCGACCGATCTTAAATTTAACAGTAGGAGGAGATTAAACTGTTAAATGACCATGAAGAATTCGTAACTCCTTCATACGGACTCCGTTTTCGTCTGTCTTTTTACTGTTGAGTTCCTATTAATGAGATCTTCAACTCTCATTAAGTTTGCGTAAGCCAAAAACCGCTCGAACTAAAATTCGAGTTTCGTGTCGTGCACTGCTATGCCAAATCTTAGAAAAATCATAACTTCCTCATACAAAGTCAGATTTGGGCGTTCTTTTTTTGTATGTTCTCGGTTTAACATATACTACAACTTTTGTTTAGATCACTAAGGCTAAAAAGTCATCTATCGTAAATTCACTATTTACGTCTCCCGGTGTCGTGCCGGTTTTGACGTAAAATTTCGACGGACCATAACTTCTTCGTTATAACTCGGATTTCGGCGTTCTTTATATGTACGGAACCCTTGAGACATATTCTACAACTTGGTTAAGATTATTTATTCTAAATAATATTTTGTCAAAAAAAGTCATTTTCGACCCTTATTATCTCTAAATTGACTAGCCCGGATATGCGGGCGTTACATTTTGGATTGTAGAATAATAATTCCCTTGTTATAGATCGTGGGTTAGTAAACCCTTGATATTGGATTTGGTTATTACCTTCTTTGGATAGAAATTTTGAATTATTCAACTTTTTGGGTTCAGGTTCATGGGTTTTATATCCTTGTTTTTTTAAATCGGTTTATATATCCTTTGCACTTTATTATTTGAATCTTAGTACTCTACCATATGGTTTATTAATATTTATGGCATTTGATGGTTTTGCATTTGTTTTAGAGGTTTTGATTTGAATATGTTAGATTGATATAGGGACATGATTTTGGACATATTTCTCATTTTGTTTGGGATGTATGGGGACATGGAAAATGTATAGTAATACAATTTGAGTCAGTGAGGGTGTGAAAAAAGCATTATTATCCAACTCACTTCCATTTTCACATCAGAATGTCTTGATGTTACAATGAAATTGGTCTTTAATTTATGCATGAGAATGGAGAAACTGGGAAAATACACCATACTTTTGTTTAAGAGAATACTCCTGAACATAAAGAGAATATTGATCAAGAAATATGACATAGTATTTTAAAACACCAAAACTAATTGTATGAGATGTCCAAGCATCTGTGTGTATTATATCAAAATGAAATGAAACTAGAGTGCTAGACAAAACAAACTAAATGGGAGCAACACATGTTTACCGGTTTGATATGCCAAACAAATCATCAATCATTTATTTTATTACATGAAATTGACGAACTAGTAAATGTTGAAAGACACAATTACTAGGATGTCCAAGATGTTGATGACATACAAACTGACTATGATAAATGTGTAACGAGACGGAATTGTGATAGGGTATAAGTTTCTAAAGGCATTGCATTAGAGTAAGGTTTGACGAGTCCGATAATCCTTTATATAGAAACCAAATTAATCAAATTCAATAGATCTTTAGCTTATATTTAGGGGTCGTTTGATAGTCACTAACTAGGTTAGAAGCTGACTGAGTTGGAAGTTCTGACTGAGTTAACTTATGAGTGAAACTTTCTGTTTGATTTTTGCATCTAACTGATTGTGCGAAATGACTATTTTACCCTTGTTGCATCTGAAACACATTGCATATTGGAATTAACATCAAACTCCATAACCAGTATTAATAGCAACATAGTATCATTTATTTGAGAATTGTAACAATAAATACAAAATTAAACATAAAAGTGGAATCTAATGATAAAAACATCAAAATCTACCTTATCATATGTACTAAAGTGGAGATCAGGGTGGACAGATTAATTGATCAAAGTTGTGGAGTTGTAAAATGACGAACAAGAAAACAAGAATTGGAGATGGTATCTTTCTGAGAAACAAATCTAGGCATTGAACCGCCAACACTTGTATTAGCTTTTCTTAGCTAAAATTTGACTATCAAATTTCAATACTTCAAAATACTCATGTAATCATACAATTGAAACAAAACTGGAAATAATGAACAATAGTATGTTGCAAGTTAAAACCTCTGAAAATGAAAACCATAATCATTTAAAAGCAATCAAAATTTCATATGTATAAACAATATACAATAATCAATCACAGAAGAAATGTTAGGTGATATAATTTTTATCTTTTCCTTTTCCTTTAAATGAAATAAAATATTATTAAGATCTATTAAATCATCTATGTAGTCAATTGTTCTTGTCTATGCAGAACATGCCAACAATTTGTCTTCATTATAGACCATCAAAATTGTTCCATCCTTTAAACCCCCAAGTAGATAAACAAGCAGATAAACAGGTTCCTTAATCAACCAATCTAGACCAGCTTTAATGATTCGCTTGATAATGATCTCTTCCCATATTCCTTTACTCACGTATATGAAACATGATCAAACAATCAAAATCGAATAATAGGGCTGATTAAACGCTACCTTGAACGAAGAAGAGACGCCTTTAAGTTGAAATTGATGAGGCGAACCGATTTGGGAGAGAGTTGAAGCCACGTGAGAAAAGAGAGAGGGCTTCTTGAGTGATATGTCGAGGGAAGATGGAAACGGCAAAGAGCATAAAGGAGATAGACCCAGTCATGAGAGTTTCAATGAAGGACTGAATCAACACAAAATTGGGGACCGAGTTCTTCATTTGGACCGAGTCCAAGGGTGGAGAAGGGAAAACAAACAAGCTATTTTGACCGGGTCCTAACTTTGGATCCAGTTAGAAAGGAAATCAAACGACCCCTTAGTAAATTTGCGAACATAGACAAGACTAAGACTCTTTGTGATTTTAGAAGTAATAAGGATGTTATAAAGGTGTAAGGGACGATACAAATTGATATTAGGAAGCTTAGAATGACCAATTTTCGTTACCGTAATAGAGGATATGTACACAACAATAACCGAATGAAAATTAAAATGATAAGAATACATTGTATCATTGTGTAAGTAGACATTGCTCTAGAGTCCATAAACGGACCAACATTTCATGATTACTAAGGATCATGCTACTGTCGTTGGGTTTATTATGAGATTACTCAGACTAAGTCCATGGATGTTGTGGTCCAACACAAGTACCAACGTGAGCTTAGGCGCTGTGTGATTGGACAACAACGTTGTTGGGCTGATTTGGCCAAACATTGACAGGTGAATTGGGCCTACTTAGCGGACTGGTCTGGTACCCAATCAACCTACAAGATGGTGACTATGGCATACATCGGAGCAGGGACCAGGCTACATGATGCCAACCGTAGCCCATGAGGCGCCATAAAAATTGTGGCATTAGATGTGGTTGGTGCCGACTGAGGCTGTCGACCGCCGTTGTTTTGAGATCGACAACCACCACAACCATTACTGTTGTGTCCATGATATTCCCACCCTACGACTTTGATTTTGAGTTTTCCCTAGATTTTCAGAAAGAAGTATCGTGTGAGAGCATGAGTTGTCAGCATGTGAAGCTTCTATTCCTCGAGGAGCAACATGGATCTATTCTCGAGAAAATTAGAAAGATGAGAACAATAACGAATTAAACTAGCAAACATAGTCATATTTCGTGGACAAACCATTAGTAGTATACATTAACAAGTTCTTTTCTTGCATTGGTAGTGGCTGGATGGTTTCCTTTGGACTAGTCAAGATGATCAGCCACACCAAACCGAATATGGTTTTTCTGAAAAGTTGTTAGTAAATGTGGAGCTTGACTTTGTCGGATATGAGAATAAGAAGAAAGAAGGTCAGCGGCTTTAGTATTAGGGTTTACACTAAGAAAAAGAATAGGAAGAAGATTTAAGAAGATCGTTCTAATACCAAGATAAGGGATTAAGTCTCATAAAAGTTTCCATCCACCATATCACAATATATTATTATATATATATATATATATATAGATATATATATATATATATATATATATATATATATATATATATATATATATATATATATATATATACAGCAACGTCACGCGCTAAAGACCATATCATTCTCTTTTCATTATTAAACTTTGGGTTTGTATTGTTATTAAGTAAATGAACATTTTCATATTATGCATTGCCTAGGTAAATCATTATCATTCCATTTTACCTACAACCGTAAAACAAAACATTTTATATATTAAATTAATTTTAATCGTTACATTATGCATAAAAATACATGGATATGATTACAAATATTGCTTATTTGATATGAAAAACTGAGTACAAGAGTAAAAAAAATTAAGAACGTCGAATAAGAGTGAATGATGGAGTATATACTAATATACAAATTGACTGAATGAGACCAAGTCATTGTTCGTATTAGCAGTCATTAGATTTTTAAAATATGAATTAAAACGAAATTTGAACAAATTGTTCTTGTTCAATGGATTAAACGTATGGATCAGATAGCATAGAAACATGAGATTACGAAAGATTTAACTTCAGAATCTCTAATCTACTCCAATTAAAATTATTTTGCATTAAAACGAACTTGCTTTTTGAAGCATTGTTTGTTGGATAACTTGCAGCAAAAGCAGAAGAACAACTCAGAAGACAGAAATGTTCAACGATTAACATCGTGAAGAAAGCAATATACAACTATACAAGCCCTAATTTATGTCTTAATTAAATTAACACTAGTAGTTACTTATCTCGTAGATTTCAACGACAGATCGGAGCTTCTTCCTCTTCCTTCTGCTTCCGGCGACATCGTCGGCCTCGTCTTCGTCGTGAAACAACGGAGTAAGGAATCGCATCGCGGAGGTCATATCGGAGGTACTACTCCCTTCGCTTTCACCGTCATCACCAACCTCTTTTCTCCTCCTTCGGTTCGTCGTCGTCCGGACGTCTCCGGTGGAATCATGAAGCTCGTGACCGTGGATATCGACATCGGCGTCACCGCTGAGCTGGATCAGCTGCAAAGCCGCCATCATCTCCGGCGTCATGAACGGAGATCGTTGTTCCGGCTTTGCAAGTTTCGATTTTTCCATGACAGAAAGCGAGAGGATGTTAATGGGAGAAATATTGAAAATCAACGGGTCTTCACATTTTAAACCGTTGGGTCCGGTTTTAGACACGTGTCATTCCTTGATTTGCGTGAATAAAAATAGATTTAAAAATTGGTAAGTCGGTTATGCGAAAGCCTTTTCCAACATATCTAGTGAATGGTCTACTTTATAATATATTGAAAGATAGATCGCATTTAAAATAATTTATTCATAATAGCTTTTTCGTTTTAAAAATAAACGTTTTAGATCAACTTAATATATATACTTTTTAATATTTATTTTTTTATTATCGTCATTCTAATATATATTATATATATATATATATATATATATATATATATATATATATATATATACCTTAATAAGCATTAAACTTCAAATGCTGAATTTTAAGAGGTACAAGGTTGGATTGCAATATATACAAACGGTTTATGCAGCTAAAAAACTTAATCATATTTAGTCATCAAAATAGAAAATTCAGATAGGAAGGGCGAGATTCAATACGATGGTTTCCTTATTTCTCTCAAGCTTTTGACATAGCCCTTTAATACCTGATCGATCGAGTCTTCTTGATTGAGTTTAATCCTGCTATCTCGACAAAAATCAGTCGATTATGGACCATCTTCCCAGGCGTTGATTAAGGTGGCATAGTTACATTCAACCTTAAACCCCAAAATTCCCAAATATCTCGGGCCCATCTCCTTATATGATTCCAATACACTCTCTCATTTTATTCTCTTGAAAAATGAAAGATTTCGCCCCTGTGATCTCCATCATCAGTTAACACAACCACCACCACCACTCTTTCATTCTCTTTTCTTTTTCTTCGTTTGTTTTTAGGTGTATGAACTGGGATATATATAATCTGGTTTCGTTTTATCTTTTGTGTGTCTTGACTACAGGTTCTCTCAAACATACTTGATCTAGGAAATTAATGGCTAAATGACCTCATTTATGTTGGATTAGTGTCTAAGCCCATAACTATTTTGGTATGTACTTGACCCGATTGCGAGCATGGTCCTTTTGGGTTGCCTTCACCAAAAGCAACTTGATAGGATGATTTGTGGAGAAAGAGATTAATTATGATTTATTAATATAGTATATAAATAATATATTTAAAAGAGAAATCATATTGTTTAATTAATATTATTGGTCAAGAATTAATGAGAATTAATTTTGTGGCTAAAAGACATTAATTAAATAAAGGGGACTAGAACTGTCAATTGTGTGATAGTTAAATATTGGGCTAATGGACTCCATAGAGGATGGAGTGGACGAAATCTATGGGGAAACCCATAAGAATTCGTCCAAGGCTTCTAAGGAGGGAGTCCATGGGCTGCTTAGGGCCTAAGCAGTCAAATTAGGGTTTCCTAGTTCAAAACCCTAATAGTCTCACATATATAAGGACCCCTAGGGCACCAAAAACATGGCTAAGCATTCCTTAGGATTCTTGGACGTTTTTTGGTGCCTCCTCCTCTTCTCCTAAGTCATCCTCTTGCTCTTGGTGTTTGTGAGCCATTAGAGGTGTGACACTTGTGACACTAAGCTTTCAGAAGCCAATTACAAGAAGGAATTAAGATTGTTATTGCTACATAACAATCAAGGTAAGATCTAAACCCTAATTACATATGATGTATTCGAAATTGGTATGCTAGATTTTAGGGTTTTCAAGTCTTGGAAGTTTATTGCATGTACAATTAGAAAAACTAGATCCAAGCATTAGGGTTTGCATGTACACCATATGATTGATGTATTGATCAAAACCCATCAGTGGTATCAGAGCCTAGGGTGTTCTTCTATTGTATTTGATGCAAAATTAAGTTTTCAAAGCCGAAAATTTGCAAATTTCGAATCTGACCTGATTCACATCGTGAACACAGTGTTCACCTCGTGAGTTCAGTCTGACAGCAGATTTTCGAATTAAACCAGACTCATGTCGTGAACACAGTGTGTTCACCTCGTGAATTCAGTCTGACAGCACAATTTTGAAATTTTTGCCTTAATTTGCTTTGGATAATTACCATAAATTGTTTTTTCAAATTAAAATCAGATTTTTCCTATTATGGTATTTGATATCCTAATCAAATTAATGGATAATTGTCAATTTAAGATAATTACTTGTTTTATAAGATAAATTTAATTATTTGTATTTTTGATTTGAATTATCTTCAAAGGAAATTGAATTAGGTCAAATTTAGATAATCACCTTTTATTTGATTAATTGTATTATTTGTAATTTGATCTATAAGGTGTTGAAAAGTTTCAAAACTTGCCCTCAAGTTTTGGAATTTAAATTTTGATTAAAAGTTTTAATTTTGAAATGTTAAATTCTAAAACCCTAGTATTTGAATAGTTCAAATTGCACCCGTATGGTTTTATTAAATTAATTAAGTGTATAATTAAAAGAGAGTTAATAAATCCATAATTATATGGTTTAAGTTTAATTAAATTAAAAGTATAATTTATTGAATTAGACCACCTAGTATTTTAAAAGTATAAAATACACCTTATACTATATAACATTTAAAAGTTTAACATATTATATATGTATGAGTAAAGAGTCAGTCTTACCGTTAGTAGGCCTCATTCACGAAGCTGGTCTCTAAGGGGTGTTTAAGGAAATTGCCTATAAAATGGCGATTGAATGGGTATTCACTCTTACCCACCGCACTTTTGACTAGTGGAGGGTCGTTAGCCGAACAGGTAGGATAGGACACAACCTTCCATTATATATAATGAAATACGAAGTAACTAAACGCTTTTATAAATTCTCAAATCTTAGTTACTTTAGGAAAAAGTGAATTTGATGCAATTCCATGGAATTACACTTTGTACCCTTGCTGAGACAATTAGTGGAGCGTGTGTGGTTAACCGGCACACTAAGTTAGGATTGGCATTGGTGGCAAAGGGTGACTCGATGTTTGTCATAGATCGATGGAGCGTGTGTGGTTAACCGGCACGTCGATTAGGTGACTGTAACATTGATGGCACCACGTACATTCGCATGGTTATTCACACCTTATTTGTGATCCTCAGCATCCCAGTCACAAATGAAGGGCATAATCGAGATTAAACATGCCATTGAAAAGTTCAATGAATCTCAAAGGATCTAGGAGTTTCAATTCATTTAAAACTTAAACCTGCGTTTTTCATGGTGGAAATTGGTAAATCGTCATTTACCTACCTTCAAATGTTCTGCAATTTGGATTACGGCATCCCTCTTCCAAGTTGTAGAATATTGTGTTGGGTCCTAGCCTTAATATCTCATTTGGGTGTTTTATTAAGGACCGAATCAACTAACTTGAATTTCTCCAGTTTTGTAGGTGTCAAAGTCTGACAACTATGGTCTTCCTGAATCTGTTGGAAAAAGTTTTCAATATGAAGATGATGTTCCATGATTGGATTGTGGAAATGGAAATCATGCTTCACTTCCTCCACCTCCTCCAATAATTCTCCCTGCCCCACGTGTTCGAAGACTTGAAAAGTTTAAGGTCACTCAAGCCCTATTGGCAAAAAGACACAAAGATGGAAAGTCTGAAGTTGCATATTGATAGATTGGGAATGTTGGGTGTCGATGTCTCAAGGAAGTTGGATGTTGACTTGGTTCTTCAGTCACTTCCCGAATCATATGGTGAGTTCATTAGAGAGTACTATATGATGGACCACGACGTGACCCTCATTGATTTGACTTATTTGCTTATTGCTACTGAATCAGAAATGATTTGGCGCACTGGTCGAGCAAATTTGTCTGGTAAATCAATATCCCATCCTTCTATGGGAAATGGCAACATTGAAAGTCCAGGAAAGTTTTCTCAACGCAAGAGAAAGGCTGAATCTGAGATAGTCCTGTGTACCATTCCAGAAGAATCCATATGTTTCTACTGCCAAGAGAATGGGCATTTGTTGCGAAGCTGCCCTGACTACCTGAGAGATCTAAGAGATGGGAGAGTCAAGATGTATGACTTTACTTCAGGTAAAATCCACTAACTAACTCTGTTAAGTTCCTTTTTAGATTCTTAATACATGATGTGATAAGATTACATTTGGTGTTTTGTAGGATCGAAGAAAAAGGAAGCTTAAAAAGAAAGAAGTGAGCTGAATCTGGTCATGAAGAAATGGATTTCGATCGCATGATTCAAAGATCGGATTCTTTAGCTGCTACTTTAGAGTTAGGACAGATTGCTAAATAATATTTACATAGTTTTCATTTGTAATCGCATTGTAAGGACACGATTTTTCCGCAATAAAATAAATTTTGATTTGTCTTATTTATGTTTCCTTGCGATGGATTTTATGAAAATTGGTGTTTTAATGTTTGTATTGTTAGCAATATTGTGAATGGATTTGATTCTTAGTTATGTTATTTGTAGTAATGTCAGAAATTTACCAAATAAGGAAAGATTCTCATCGCCCAAGTTTCAATTGGACAGAAACTTGGAATCATGCAACTGGTATTGTATGATGAATGAGAAACTTCGTATTTGGGAAATTAAGACTAATTCCTTGTTCACATAAGTATGTGATTCAAGTGATGGACTAGGATATCTAGTACGCATTGTTGTGCACTAGGTCAAGTCCGCCACAAATAACGATAAAATATTCGTCATGATTTGCTAAAAGATTAGTAAATATGGTTATACTTAAAAGTTTAAGTATGATTCTGAATCGTTGAAAAGGTTTCAATAAATAGCAGAACGAATAAGAAGAATCAATTAGGCACAAAGATAAAAGTTTTTCAATCTAAAAAGATGGGAGAGTAATTAAGTATCTATTTTATGATTAACTTACTGATTTGAAACCGTATCACAAATGATCCTCTAAGGACACCTTAGTGCACTAGTATGGATAAGAAGAGGAGTCGAGAATTGTCAAAATGGGTTAAGTCAATAAGATAAATCGTACTTCGTTCCAAAATCAAGTCTTAGAGTCAAACTCAAAGATTGTGACTTGAGTGACATAATCTTAAGTAGGAATATTCTTAC